TTCGGCTTGGGGAGCGTGGGGGGGGATACCATGGGGGGGGGCTCGGTGAACCGAGAACCGGGATCATATATATATATATATATATATATCTTAAATCATAATATGAAGCCGTTCAAGTTTCAGGTATATTCCTTGATTAAGGGGTTTTGGGCGCTCTGGGTCCAAGCCCTAAGCCCTAAACTCCCGAACCCTTGGCTTAACCCCTTAACCTAAACCGGTAGGCAACCCGTGCAGACACCTCATAGATTATAGAGCCCTCTATCGAGCCCTTATAGAATTCTTCAGAGACCCGACTACCAGCACAACCCTGCATCCGAACATCTTGAGTCGGTTCAAAGTAGTAGAGAACCTCCTAAACCCTAAACCATACTACAACCTTAAATTCCTAACTCTAAACCATAACCCTGGATGCTCAGACTTTGTGTGAAAGGGAGAAGAGGCGCATAAACAGAAAAACCACAACCCTAAGCCTACTACCATAACCTAAGCTATACTTGGAGGGTCCGGGAGACTTACTAAGTAGTTATTTTATAGAGTTATTAGTATCCTAACCCCAATTATTAGGATCCCTTTTAGGGTACTTACAAGTCTACTTATTACCCACTTACTAAGTCCCCCGACCCTCCAAGTAACCCCAAATCTGAAGGCGTTGAGCCGGTTCAAAGTGGTGGAGAACCGGCCTGTCCACGAACTGGGCGCAAACTCCGCAGCGGATGCCTGGGATATGGAAACCGCTTCTGGGTTCTTGTGAGGGTTTCGAGTTCAGGGGTCTTCTTTGGGGGTTTAGGGTGTTGGAACAGGGTTTGCCAGGGTCCACGTCGGGTGTCGGGTTTAGGGGAAATAGTGTAGGGGGCCTCAACAAAAACCACTACTATTTTGGGGGTTCCGTATTGTAAGTATAGTATAATGGGCCCCCAAACCCTATTCTAATTATTAAGGCCCCTACCTTAAACCCTAAACCCTAAACCCTAGACCATTTTATTAAGGCCCCTATATTAGTCGGATCCTTGCTCAGGCTTTGGGCCTGCTTCACAGCCTGGATGGCGCATTGCAGTGTGACTTCAGCTTTCCGATAGGCTGAGTTCTGATTACGGAGTTTGATCGATCAAAGTTATCATGATAAGGATACCTTACTATTCACTATAGACCCCTTTCCGGGAAACTTAAAACCCAAATGAAGTTCCTGAAGAAGAACCCTAGTGCCAGAAGCAAGAACCCAGAATTCCGACCCTAAAACCCTAAACCCTAAACCCTAAACCCTAAACCCTAAACCCTACCGAGAGGTGCCGGGAAGAATGCCATGCCCGATTGGTTTGATGTGCGGCCAGAGATCGTTTACAATGTGGTCGGCTTTAGGCCCGGAGATGTTTTGACCATTCGTGGAGGCAGGGCCGGGACTTTTTGGGGTTTCCTTTGTTGAATTCACGTTTTCATATCCATTATCCATCGTTGCCTAATAACCCTAAACCCTAAACCCTAAACCCTAAACCATTTTGCTGACTTGTAAGGCCCGCCCGGAACTCGCTTGACCTTGATCGGTCTTCGGCCGGATCCCGATACTGGGGAGATCTCGGTGTGGTGGCATCACGAGGCCGGCCCCCTGAACAGCCCAAGCTGGATATGATTGAGACACCGGAGGTTCAGTCATTAAGGGCCCCCAACACGGACTCTCTAAAAGGTTGGGTTCGCACCAAGAGGACCCTGCTGCTGGTCCTGCTGCTGCTACTGCTACTTCTACTGCGGCTGCTACTGCAACTGCGACTGCTACTGCTGCTGCTGCTACTGCTGCTGCTGCTGCTGCTGCTGCGGCTACTGCTTCTCCTACTGCTACGACCACCTTTACGGTTACCCTGGTTACTAGTACCACCAGCATCAGCAGCAGCAGCACCACCACCACCACCGCCATCATTACCACCACCTTCGCCACACTGTCTGTTTTAACGTTACTGCTGCTGCTGCTGCTGCTGCTGGTGCTATTACTACTACTGCTGCTGCTGCTGCTGCTGCTGCTGCTGCTACTACACTGCT